CGAATTAGAGAACAATCTCCTATTATAACCACGGAATTATACCATGAAACTGAGCGAACGAGAGTTTCATTACAGTAAAACCACTTTTTCCGTCAGTATCACGCAAGCGAACGAAGGTATTATATCTGTATATGTGTCTTATGGGATGTCCGTGTTTTCCAGTCAGCCTGAATGAAGATTTAATGCAAATGCAATGCATTCGTTCCAGTTTGCCATTTCTCTTACTCTCCTTTATCGCCTTCCAGCATCGCTTTTTCCTTCTTCTCCTTCATCTTTCGTGGTCGTCATTCGAGCGACCAATCCTCATATCACGCACGAGTACATCGAACCATTTGTATATCTCTCTATGTATTCACCTATATAGATTACTGCTATATTTCTTATTCTACTATATATGTATATCTATATCTATATATATGCGGATATACACATAGCCGGACGTAAACTTATGCGAACAATTTGATTGGGCATTTCCATCTGGACCAAATCGGTAGAAAGTCAAGTCAAAAAAGTAAGTCGATGAGTGCGACAAACTTTCTACTTAAAATGTTATTTTTCCTTATCCTATTTATATCTACGTATATTTATACATTTGTATATAAGTACATATATATATATATATATATATACCTAGTATATTCACGGTAGATGAATACATATGTACATTATGTATTAAATTAAACGTGCTTTCATTCGATCCAACCATTTCAACGAAGATCTGAGAAATGAACTTGTGTACGCAAGTAAATGGATCGAAGTCGTCTTTCTTGTTTCTTTCTTATAGGTTATTTAAACTCACTCCTGTTATTATTGCAAGATATATAATGAAAGCTTTCCTATACATGAATTCTCAATTTTAAGATAAGTGATTTTCTTCATCGTTCTACTTCTGAATATATTTTTGTGTTTTCTATAAATATCAGTCAAGTTTGAAGTCAACAATTCTAACATCGATCTACATGTTACGAAGAAATCGCTGTTAAATCCTGTGAGTTAATTTTCCGAATACCACCTATCGTTTGTTCTTCTCTCAGTCCTACTAGTCAGAAATTTCTTCTTACTATTCGCCGAATTGAGTTAGAAGGTTTAATCCTTTCTCACATAAAGCTTTTGGTTCATTCGAAGTTGGATATCGAATTTTCGAGGGATTCGTGATGTGTGATATGGCCGGCCTTCATGTCCTCATCGTCGTTGTTATACTTCGGACATTTGCATCTAAATTTACGCTACCATTTAGATTGTAACCGCTCGATGAGAGACCGTAGAAATCCTTGACTTTATTTACTAGACGGCTTCGATCCACGTGGAACAGTGATGGGATTTAAAAAACAAAAGGAACCACAACGACGTGACTTTTCGAGGCAAGGCATGGCGAGGAGAGGAGAGGCGAGACGAGGCGAAGCGAGTGAAAATTTAACGCCAATTTATTTATTGCCTTTCTCTGTCTATCCCTTTCGCTCTTCTAGTCGTTCCTCTTTTATTTTCCGACACTCGACGTGTTGGACATCGTACGAATGCACACGCTCACGTACGTATACGCTTCTCACGTATAGACGTTATTTTCACGAAAATAAAGCGTATTTTCATGAAGGACAAAATGGCCAGGTGAAACTTTTGCACGAATAAAAGGATTCGTGGGAATTGGAACGAGGGACGGCATTGTTTCTATCGATATTTTTCGTTTCTCTTTTTAGAAATTCCTTCGAACACGATATACTTCTCTAGAAAAGATGTTAATCGACAAAGATAAATATTAAGTAAAGTAACTTTCCTCGAGTTTCTTGTCGAGAGTTTTTATTTCTTTCCTTTTTCCTTCCTTCCTTCCTTCCTTCCTTCCTTCCTTCCTTCCTTCCTTTCTTTTTCTTCCTCGTTATGGACGAAAGAACCGGAGCATCTGGTAGCAGCGGCCTCCAAATTGGACGGTTCACTGGGTGGCAGTCAAGTGTGAAGAATGTGAAAACGTTCGCCGCTGAAAAATCGTTAAGCGCCTCGACCGTTCGAGATTTACGTTCCATTCTGTTTCATCTAACGCGCTTTGTCCGAGTCTTGCTCCTTCCACAGCGAGAGAATGAGAGAGCATAAAAAAAAATTTACCGGCTTGTCCTAATTCTTTAGTCGATATAACAACGAAAATATACGGTTAAAGAGAGAAAGAAGAAATACGAAAGTGGGAAAGAAAGAGAGAGAGAGATAGAAAGAAAAAGAGGAAGAGGAAACCGTGAAAAAGTAGGCCAGCATTTGAGGAATACCGATCCGCTTTATCGAGAATCTTCCTTCCATCTGCTCAACGGATCTAAAACTTTTCGATCGAGACCGAGTTGTTTGGAGAACACCGTAGACGAGCATAAAAGTTGAAACAGTTTTGATCGGGAACTCTTTAAAAGTAAAAGCATCACCACATATCTTTCCTTTTGCGTGTTGGTTTCGGACGTTTCAAGAAACTAGACGTCCAAATCTTTTTGCTCCTTCTTTTGTGTTATCAACTGTCGAATGAAGTTTTGTGATGTCAAAAGTAAGAAAAAAGGATTTTAAGATTTTGTTAACTTTGTACATATTATCGTAAATCGATTTACCTGTGTCTTGAATATCCTTCAAACCCAATTCCAAATCGATTTAAATATTTATTTTCTAAATGGCTGAAGTTGGTTTAAAAGTAATATTAGAGATGGTCAGTCTTATTTCTTTGTCGTACGTTCAACTAGACAGTCCGTTTAACAAAACGCGCTGATTGAGCCAAGATAACTGAAGGTAATGACGCGGCAAGCATTTTATGAGGAACATGACATAAGCAAATGGAGCGCAATAAGGAGTTCCATGAATACGTGGATGCATGAATCGCCTGATATTTTGACCGCCATAGTCTGATTTGCATTCGACTACCGCTACAAATTCTTTGTCTTTTCTTTTATTCTCTTTCCTTTTCTTTTCTTTTCTTTTCTTTTCTTTTCTTTTTTTACACGAGAAGGCAGTAACCATACGCTCTTTCGGTATTCTCATCTTTGTTCACCTTTCAAGTCGTTAAGGAGTTCTTCCTTCTCGTCTACTACCACTTTTCTTCGCACCAATTTGCAAGTCATCATCTTTGAACGTTCCGAGCCTTCAAAGGAAGACCTTGCTCGAGAGCTCAGGATCTCGTTACGAAAAGGGTTTCGCGTGTACGCGCGAGATTCACACAAGAAAAGTATAGGAATTTGAAAATCGGTCGGGTTATATTAATTTCTTGAGTGGGTACTACATGTCCTTACAAAGGGAATTCATTGATCCTATAGTCGATACTCCTGAAAAGAATTTATTTCGAAATTGCAACATTTACATTTCCCACAACTGTACAACTGCTAGTTCTAAAAGGGCCGATGAATTTCCAGTTACATCTTTTTATCTCGCTTCTAACTTTTTCATCGAACGTTTCAACAGGATGGTTCGGACGAATCCAGTTAAATCCCCTTCTATTGGACATTTTCTTTGCCTTTTTTTTCATGTTTCTTTTTCTCATTCTTTCTTTAATTTTTTTTTTTTAATTTAATCGAAAGTCAGCTTCGCTTTTGTATATTCAGCCGCAAAAGGAAATAACGCGGCTGAAAGAACGTAGTAAATTACGAGTGGTGAAAGAATCGCGAGAATGTTCGAATCTTTTGATTACTTTTTCCCAGAAAAAGTAATCGTCTTTTCCCCCTCTTACTTTCTCTCTCTCTCTCTCTCTCTCTCTCTCTCTCTTTCTCTATATGTCTGATTACAAGCGTCAAATATTTAATTTTAATGAAAAATCCTAACCTCGTCTTTGCGATACGGCTCCGTGACTTTTCAAAGCCAACGCGACAAGTCTAGACAAAATATCCAGGGCGATTCATTCCGTTATAAATGAGATGTTCAAGGAACGAAAGATCATATATATTTTTCAATCCAAATGGAAAGCGAACGATACGTCTTGCTAAAAAATGAGAGCACGTCATCGGTCGTTTTTGGATGATTGATCGCCTGCCCTAAACATTTCCAAACCCCTTCCCTTAAAAATCTTCTTCGACGAATGGTAATCTATTCGATGTTTGTTCGTTACTAGAAATGTCGATATTAACGAGAATAACACTCCAGCATTGATTCGAAATCTGAAATATATCAAACTTGAATGTAATTTGGAAGTTACTTTTTAATGGTAGTTTAAAAATAGAAGAGGATATTTCTCGAAGGATTAGTAATCCGTGTTGGTTATATTTATCAATCTATCGGCTAACGATCTAAAATCACGAAAATGCTCTACTCAAATCTCATTTATTCATAAATGTAAGTTTAGAATTGTCGATATCTAACGCGTTGATATTCGCAAAGACATAAAACATTGCGATTGTGATTGCGATTGAGGTCAAATTGGATGGGATGGTACTTACCAAACGTATAGAAAATAAATTGCGTCTAGACAATATATGTCGATAGGCACGTGAATATTTATTCGAGTCGAATCGAGTTTGGTAACGTATGTGCTTAAAACAGATGCCTCCAGAGGGTTCGATCTAAGATTAGAAAATAATACGTTCCTGGAGTTGTCTCTTTCTTCTGCAAAACTTTATAATTTTTTTTTTTTATCCACGATACCAAGATATCATTCAGAGAAACGGATGATTTTTTAACGAGATTCTTAGTGAAAAAAAAAAATTATCTCTTTTTCATTTCAACGTAGCAAGTACTTTCAAGAAGTTAAATAAAATACTGTAAAATGAATCACCCTATGAGAACTTGAATAGGATAGCGAAAATCGAAATACTCCATTTTAAAAGGCTATCCGTGAAAATCTGTTCTCTTTTAAAAATCCCTTCCTCGAAGGAAAGATGACGTAGGAACTAATGAACGCTCACCAAGATTATAGCGATTAAAATGTTTGAATAAAGGGTAAGAAATGAAATCCGTGAAAAAGAACAGGGCCAAAAGAACAGGGTCGAAGGAGCAGGGTCGAAAGAGTAGGGTCGATCGAAAGTATCGTGGAGAAACGTGGTACGTTTCTGTTGCAGGGGGAAAAGGGTGATGGCCCGTACCACGCGCTCGCGACGAAAAATGGCGAATACGAGCGATGCTCCCTCGACTGCGAGCAGCCTTTTGTCGAGCACGACGACGACTCCTTTCAGCAACCCCACATCAACGACCTATTCAACCGAGGGCTATACCTTCAATTACAGCGACCTCGCGAATTTCGCTGGATACTCCTTGGATGAATTGAATCACACAGGACTTTGGTTAGACGTGTGGAATGGTACCGAGGCTGCTGATAACGTAACTGAGAGGTTAAACGCCACTGTATTGATACCAGGTGGCTATTGCGACGAGTGGGAGGCAGCCCAGCACAAGCTCTTTCAGGTGAGTTTGTACCGGCGATTCTTCTTCTTTGACATCCCTAAGATGAAAATAAAGCTCCAAATTCTACATATGTATTCGTATTCTTGATTAAGAATAAATACTTTGATCACGTTGAAAATAACTAAATTCCAGAGAATTTTCCTTAATACTCTATTGCTTTCGTGAGTTTATCTTCGATATCGTATATATCCAATCGTATTCTGCTATTTTGCAAAGGGATTATGTTCGCAGTAAAACGATTTGGAATTTAAGCGATAACGAACCCGTGCCGATCCTGGATGAATTTGTTCGAACTCTCCCTCACTTTGTTCGCTTCTTGTCGAAACTCTCAGCAAACAGGAAAGTTGGCAGTGAATCCAAATCGGTTTCTTAGAGTTCTAGAAAGAAACTTAATTTCACGTGATCTCTTTCCAGGCAGCGAATATATTCTTCATGGTGGCCTTTCTGGTGCCGCGCTCATTTAAGGCCTCCGTCTTGGCCCTCCGTACATTTCTAACGGCCGGATTTATGCTGGCTGCGTTATGGGCCGGTATCACCATATGTGCTCTCGACGCCATGCTCTGGTGTCTCTTCCTCGGCCTTCTCAACGGCATACACTCCTTGATACTAGCTTGTCGATTTTTACCGCCTGCTCTCAGTCCGGAGCTTGCGGAGCTGTACCTCAAGCTTTTCAAACCTTACAAGGTCAGCAAGAAGCACTTTCAAGAATTGGCCAAAGAAGCGAGGATACTCAAATTGGATGCTGGTCAGACATACGCGACCGAAGGGATCACGCCCGCGGACGAAAGGCTATCAATACTTTTGCGTGGACAGTAAGTACTTACTTTTATCTGTGTAATTACAGAATAAATCAGCTGTGTTCTTTCTCCTTTCTTAGAATAGAAAAATTCTCCTTTATTTTCTTAGTGATAACATATCATTTTAAATGACATTATTGCATGTTATAAAGAAGTATTTCAAGTCCTTTTTATACTGTATAAAATCGATTTAAAAGGTTCTTGGTATCAGTAAAAGCAAGAAATATTGAACACAATAGACTTCGTACTGTGGTCAAGTTATTTCAAGAAAAGTAGATTTATAGGGTGTGCGTGAGAGAAAAACGACTGTCTGGATTTCAGGCTGAATGTAACGTGCGACGGTACCCACCTACACCATGTCAGAGCTTATCAATTCGTCGACTCGCCCGAATGGGAAGCCACGCACGAAAACATCGATGACGTCTTCCAAGTAACGATACGAGCCGAGGAATCCAGCACATACATTTGCTGGACAAGGCTGAAACTGCTGAGGGTATTAAGGCATAGGCCATTGCTAAAGGTCGTTCTCAACACCCTCATCGGTAAGGACATTACGTCCAAATTATACGCCCTTAACGAGCAACTCGCTGACGTTTCCACGGTCAGTGAGAACACCAGGTCGAATCCTTACAGAGGCGTCGCCAGAAGTCTTAGCGTCGACGCCGTAAACACAGAAACTGCCGGAAGAGTTCGTTCGACCACGTGGAAGGCGCAAAGGAGGCACAGTAATCCGCGTAGCGACAGTAAGAAATATTTTTAATTATTAAATTAACGTCAAAACAATCATTATACGAAATCACACGTTCGTAATACTTGTAGAAATTAAATAAACGTCTAGTTTGTCTGATTCCTTATACTTATATTCACTTTAATAGTTGATTTTATATATATATATATAAACCCATAGTTATAAAATACAGCATACCATTAATACGAGCAATTATCAAAAACTTGCAGCGAAGCATAGGAGCGAAAGTTTGCGAGACAACAATCCCTCACGGATTTCTCAACTTCTAATAAACTAAATATCAGAAATCTATCATAACGTTTACACAAACTCTGAACGCTTTTCCTGTTCCAATTTTCCAAATTGTCAGTATTGTTTGTTATATTTCGATGGTCCATACTATAAACAACATATTCTCCTAGATGGATTCTGGAAATGTTTTTAAACTTTGGCTCAGCATTCATCCGAATTTCATCCGAAACGCGTTACCAATATTTGAGTAATGTTATAGTTTAAAAAAACAAAAACAGAAATAAAGAAAAAGACATGTCAAATGGAATATTCATTATTTTCTAGATACGAACGTACGAAATAGTTGCACTCTTATGACTTCTATCAGGGAAATTAAACCATTGGATATTGGTTTTGTCTTTAGGAAGTTCACCGGCCCGATATTCTCATCAGTATTGGGCGCCTGTGGTGGCAAATCATTTTCCACCGACTTCGCCCTTCACCCAGGGCCAAAACCTCGGGTATTCGTTACTGCCGCAGGGTGTTCAATTCTCGCCACCACGGCGGGCGCCGCTCATGTCACATCCGCCACTGACGCGGCAACGTAGTGGCGGTGCGGGTGGCGATTACACCTTGCTACCTCAAACACCGAAGCTCGATAGGAAGCGCTCGAAAAAGGGCACGAGGGAGGTAAGTTCCATTTGTGAAACGAACAAATGTCGTATCAAACAATGAAATATACAGCGAGATAGTCGAAACGGAAACGAAATTAGGTTGAAATTGGAATTAGTATGACGTATCTTTTTAATCTGATTAATTACTTTTTGTTTTATAAATGTATCTAATTTTACATTTAATTGCCCATTTATTATAATTGCCCGTATATTTAATCCAAGCATTTAATCTTAAGGAACTTAAGGCAATATTTTTATCTTATCTGTGTCTCTTCGACATTCAGCGTTTTTTTTTTTTTTTTTTTTTTTTTTAAAGATTAATTACACTATGTGTCGTAATGTCGTAAAGTCGAATGAGAATTAGTTCCTCCGTAAGAACATTACTATAATTAAGTGCTTTCACGTTTCTTCGAATTCCGGAACGAAAAGAAAAACTTATTACTTTGGCAGAAAGTTTCCTTATTTTCAAGTGGATTTATTCGGCGATAAATTACCGAGTCCTTTTTAAAGCTGATTTCTCGTTCGGTGTTCTCGATATGTCTATTGCAACAAAATATCCAAAAGAGGATGCAAGAAAGCTCTATCGTATTAGCTGCGCATAATTCAAAGGAGAAAAAGTTCGGTCGAAAATGTAGCGACGCAAAAACTCAATTATCGTTCGTTCGCGAGCCAGAAAAGTGACTTGATATTGAGTTAGTACACTGAGCTGCTTTCGATGGCCTCAGCGAGAAGAGTTTCTTCGGGCCAACAAAACTCGTGAAGAAGATAGGATAATGAAATACCTTCCAACTGTTGCCCACGCGTGAATGGAGCAGCTGTCATCGCGAATAGGGGTCAGAAGAGACTCTTCAATTTCTCACGAGTCTCAGAAAATTAGTCTCAGTGTTGCTCCGATCACCGTTGATGACTAATTTCCGTGTTATCGTGTTAATTTTTGCTCAATAAAAAAAAAAAAAATAGCCTGAATGTTCGATTAAAAAAATTATCTTAAGATATTAATAAACAAGTGATGATAATCTTTAATTGCAGCAATTATATATAGTGAAAGTAAAATTAATGAGATATATTAATGAAAGAATTGAATAAGTGACTTTCGTAAACTTTCTCGCAAAATTTCTGATACATTATTAACTCGTAAATATCCTAAAATAAATTGTATTCTAAGTTGAATTCGAAGTACGGTAAAAGTGTACGGCATAAGAGAGTAAACGCGAAAATTGCATGACAGTTTCTTTGGAGGCAAAAGAAAATACATAGAAATAGCTGCGATAACATACTTCAGAAACAGGCGTTAAGTACTTTCATAGATAAAACAATATCGTTTGTCGGACTTTCGTTATCTTATCATTAATATGTAAAGGATAAATATATGTTAAGTAATTAACTATCATCCTTGTTGAGGTTGTGATCTCTAACTTCATCGTGATTATTCGACAATGGTGTCGGTTGAAAAGTTAAAGCTTGAGTGTGAGCATTCTGAACTTTGAGAGCTTTTCATAAGTTTTCCGCGTTAAGCATGAAATTCGTTTGACTTCCTAACAACAGACAGTTCAGCATATTTTACTTGATTATTGATTACTATTATCGATACGATAGTTACACGACAATATTAGATCCCTTAACATAATACGATTATTTTCCGATATCTTTAATAGTTCAATAAAATCTAAGAAAATATATTTACAAAAAAAAATATAGAAATGTCTTGTTAGAAATCTTTTAAAAAATATATATAAAGTCTGTATAAAAATTTTACATTACGAATGATATACGATTTTATAATTATAATTAGCAAATTTTTATTGGAATATTAAAAGAGTATTGATTTTCAGGTGACATTCGAGACACCGGTATGACGGTCGCTCGACGGGGAAGGCCCAGCCAGCGTGCCGCTTCTTTCGCTGTCGCCGCTACGTTTTGCCTAGCCCCGTCGAGGTTTCGAGAATCTTAAGAAGCAAGTCAAATTCAAAAAGGGATTCTCATTACTCGAACATTCACCTCCTCGGCGTCATTTTTGGTGGCGTCCAGGCAAGCAGACGCACGATGGAGGAAGAAGAAGAGGATGCCTATTGGCCGATCGTCGAGCCCCAACCTCTGACCCCTCCTCCTGTTCGATGTCCATTCGGACTTATCAGGATGATCCGGACGTCGAAGAGACGACTCTGTGGTTCTAAAAAATGCGATGAAACTCCTTCCGCGTGTGCAGGCTCCCTTTAAAAATATTTGCACTAGCTCGGACTCTTTTTCCAGACTCTTTCGTAAATATCGTGAGTGATACGAGCCTTATACACACACACACACACACACACACACATACACACACTTACATATAAAACATAGACCTATATACACGCAGGTACTATTCGTACACCCGAAAAAACGAACGAAAAGAACTTTAACTTGCTATAAGAAACAAAAAAGAGAGAATCCGCGAACGAGAATGCATCGAGGTCGGATGAGGAAGGGAGTCGAAGGACGAAACGCGGTAAAGGGTTGGAGGAGGGGAAAATGGAAGAGCTTTTTTACCTTCACCGGAAAACGTCCTTCCTAATTTTTCGAGGAATCTCTATTTATACGTCTCTCTCTCTTTCTGTTTTTTTCTCTTTTTCTCTCTTTCTCGTAGCTAAAAAAATGTGAAGAAAGTTGAAAAGAGAGAAAAAGATGAAGAGAAAGGGTCGAAAGAAGAGATTGGAGTATATCGCGTTATATCTTAGACGTGCATAGCCTCTGTGTACTTACACCCATACATCGACTGTGATTATAACGGATATAATTCTTAAGTCTTTCAAGAGGTATCGCAAAAAATCGACTATATTGAAATACCTGTTGAATTGTAAGTCTCTCAGCGACATCGATTTAACTATTTTAGGGAGTGTCTTCGTATCGTACGCGTTCGAGTCATTGCATCATGGACGCATGATCCCAAACTTTTTCTTCCATTTAAATTGCCTAAAATATTAGCTTCATTGTTTTTCCATAATCAAGAGACATATTCTTTAAATGTTAACATGTTCACTGTTTTTTTTTTTTTTCTTTTTTTTTTTATGATCTATTTTCTCAGAGTTAGAAAAATTTTTCTTGTAAAACTCCTGTATAATACGTTGTTTAGATATGTTCTGAGATTAATCTGCCTAAAATGTGATTCACGTATGGATATGTATTAAAGGACAGTAAATATGTTAAATTTGTTAATCTATTTCTTCCTTTGATTTTATGACTTCTTTTTATAAGTTCATTGTTAAAGTATCGTAAAGGAGTCAAAATATTTGCTATTTACTCTCTCTCTCTCTCTCTCTCTCTCTCTCTCTCTCTCTCTCGCTCTCTTTCTCTTCCTCTTTCTCTTTCGGACGAAAAGAAGAAAATCATTAGTCTTCCTCCGGGTTTTTCATCGACGTGTCCAAGCCATATCGATCGTGGGTAGTTGCACAAAAAAAAAAACGAAGTTCCACTCGTCGCAAAAACGATACCTCGACTCGACACGAAGATCTCTAATCACAAGCGAACTGATACTTGCACTATTTCAATTTACCATGGGCCATTCTCACCTTTCCGCCACTCCATCACAATTCTCCTAACTCATCGACTTTAGGACAAGCGCGTTTCGCGTTACACGAAACGTCAAATATAGAAACTAACTCAATGGACAAAAATGGACACGAGACATTGAAGTGAGTTATATTCACATATATAATGCAATAAGTGCTTTGTTTAACAAAAAAAAAAAAAAAAAAAAAAAAAAAAGAAAAAAAGAATTAAAAAATCTGCAATAAAGTGCTTCGAGAACAAATGAAAAAAAAAAAGTAAATAAATAAATAAAAACAACAAATTGTAAAATAGTTGATTGCGAATCGAATTAAGAGACGAAATGATTTATTATTAACATAAAAATTGAGGTGAAAGGAAGAAAAGCAGGCGTGCTAAAGTAGATACACATATGTAAAGAGGAGAAAAAGAATAAAAGGAGGAGGAGAAGAGGAAGGGGAAGAAAATAAAGGGAAAGAAATAAAGAAGACGGACGACGATGATGACACAAATTAAGAAAACATGTGTGTTTGTATGTTTCTATGTTTATATAATCCCCGCGTGTGAGAGCAAGGCCGAAGAAGATCTAGAAAAAAAAAAAATAAAAAATAAAAAACAAAGACGCATAAACGATTTAAACAAAAGAAACATTAAATTTCAAAAGTCTAGAAGGACGAGTGAAAAGTATTGTGAAAAAAAAAAAGAGTGATGGCATAGTGATAGGCAAACGAAAATATGCGAAACGGGTGGAAACGTGCGTACGTGTTTTGAGTTACGTTGAAGAGATATGGAATATGTCGAAGAGAATAAAACGAAAACATAAAAAAGTTTGTAGAGTACGCTTGCGAATCGATCAAATGAGCGTGCGTGTGTGATAATTAATAATAATAATAATATTAATAATAATAATAATATTAATAATATTAATAATAATAATAATAAAAATAATAATAATAATAATAATAATAATAATTAAAAAATAAACCGGAGCAAAGGATCTTACACGTCGGAAAATATGTTTCGTACCTGATAGATTTTGCCTGACATTTTAACATGTAATATATCGCGTTTCTTAGATGATGTTTCATTCTACGAGTTCTTAACACTTGCATTGCGTCATATAAAAATAAGACAAATACGAAAATAATTTAGTAAAAAGAAAAAAAAATATATATATATATATGTATATATATATATATATATTGTCTTTCCTTTTTTCTCTTTATTCTCCAAGTTTTTATGAAACGTATACGAATCAAGTTTATAAGATTACAATAAAATCAATGATGCTTTTTCTATCTTTCATTTGCGAATTCGCAACGAAAGTGTTAAGAAATCTATCCGATGATCTTCGCAAATCGCGTAGTAAGAATCCTTATTGTAGATCAATGGTTTCACTGAAGGATATATTTTGCTTTTGACTTCGATTAGTGGTCGTGTAACTAGCAATCATATACATACATATATTATATCGAGTCGCAATGATATTTATATACGAGCATCGTTATATAATTCATCGTTACGATTTTTCCATTATAAAACGAAGTACAAACTATTCGTTGTTTGGTTTCCGATCGACGTGCCTAGTCAGCATTTTGCGTTTTAGAAAAGTAGAAGAAGTCGTAAAATATGGTCTTTCTTCGCCATAAGCAATAGCGTTTAAAGACCTGTGTAGAATTAACACATAACACGAGGAAATAATCGATCGATATAATGCACACACACACACACACATGCGCGATAGTTGTTACGGACTCGAATCCATCGAACGCGAATCATTTTTTCTATTGTACATAAATATATTGAGCGAGCAAAAATTTCGTTATTGTAATATCAAGTTAAACCAAAAAAAAAAAAAGAAAAAAAAAACAAGAAAGGACAAAAGAGAGAGAAAAATTTGTTTTATCATTTTTAAAGCGTTACTGCTTCACGAAGGACGGAGAAATTGAATGAAAATTGGAAAGAATTAGTTCAAAAGCGGCCCGTCCCGATTCTTTGACCACCAAATCAGCCGCACGTCGATATTGGCACGAGACCAGCCGTGCGAAACGCAAGGGCCGAATTTCTGGCTTGATTTTAGGCTGAGTTATTTACATACGAATAGAGACCGAACGGAATACATTTGGCAAATATTTCTTCGTACGCTCGATCGTTTCGACGTCCACATATGCGTTCGATGTACACGATACAGACAAAAAATATTTCACAGTCGCATATGCGATTATGAAATATAAGTTACGAGCTCGAGCTCAAAGTACCCCACCTCTCTTTCTCTCTTTCTTTCTCTCTCTCTCTTTCTCTCTCACTCCCTCACTCTCTCTCTCTCTCTCTCTCTCTCTCTCTTTCTCTTTCTCTTTCTCTCTCTTTCTCTCTCTTTTTCTCTCTTTTTCTCTGCCTCTTTGTAAGAAAAGTACATACTCTTTCGATTTATCTGCCTTTAAATTTTCTATTTCATACTACCAGTGGCAAATATTAATTATCAGCCGATCGATACTCGGCTGTGATAATATTAGAAAAGACGCGAAATAAAGAAATCGCAAATGAAAAAAAACACATATCAAACGTAGGGTGCTAGGATAAGCTATTGTATATTCGAACAATGTTTTTTTTTTTTTTTTTTTTTCTTTTTATTGAATTATTCTCGTGGAATGTAATTTTGTAATGATCTCCGATAGATTTGCTCGATAGATAAAGAATATAAAATTCATGTATTTTGTTAAACTCTGATAGAAACTTATTGAAATCAATAAAATAAAATTTTTACATTTGGTCATCCTACTTAAGCGTCCAAATCCTAGAGAAAGAATTGTTAAAAATATTTGTTTTCGAAAAAGAGAAAAAGGGAGATAGCTTGAAAAGAGAGATGAAGATAAAAAGGGAGAGAACTCGTGAAATAAGAGAACAATATATTTTCCGACGTAGGATCGGCTTTAAAAAAAAGGGATGCGTCTGAATGTGCGCGAGTGTCTTTATCGATGTTGTGAACCGTGTTACCAGAAACAAATAAAATGAACAAAAAAAGAAGAAGAAGAAGAAGAAGAAGAGATATAATGAGGAAAATAAAACACAAGAGACTACAGGGGCGACTGCAAACAAAAAAAAAAAAAGAAAAAAAGAAAAAGAAAAGAAAAAAGAAAGAAATAAGAAAACGTACGTAAAGCCAACATACACACCAACGTGACTCACGATTACAATAATAATTGATGACGATGTTTACGACGAAGCGAAAAAGAAAAAAAAAAATACACTAACACCGTACCATGAACAAAAACGACAAGACACTGTATATTATTGCTATTATTTATTATTACGATATGTTCGTTGACTATTATGTTAGAAATAAAAACTACATTGAGAAATGACGTCTTTTTGTGTGATTCATCTCGAAGTATTTGTTCTCCTCATCCACCTATTTGTCTTTTTTATTACTTTTTTTAATTTTATATATATATATATATATTTTTTTTTTCTATTAAGAATGTAATGAGAAGAAAAGAAAATGCTTCTGGACCGAGATCTACTAGTTACTGTTACTAAAATAATGAAATGGAAATAAGAGAATATAAGAGAGGGAGAAATGGGAGAAAATAGGGAATGATGTACGTAGAGATACTGGAATGGTGATATAAAAGGCGCTTCAAGGATTATAACCCTTGAATCCTTTTTCTCGTTCTATCCGCTCGTCTCTTTTCTTCCTTTTATATGTATCTCTATCTCTTTTTATTCTTCTCTATTTTTTACCGTCGTCATTACGACTCGTCACTCGACTTAGCAAGAATAAATGGAGGAAAAAGGAAAAGAACGAAGTATTCTGACGTTTCCGAAGGACGAAGAATCGGTGATGTCTTTCTAGCTGTGGCGTCGTCGTTAAGAAAGGTCTAGGTAAATGCGGATGGATTTCCTGGCAAGGAGCAGCCTTAAATCTGGGTCGTCCAGGATATTTAGTTGCCAATATTCGATACACCATTCCTCCGATTGCGACACAATTCTTTCTCTGTTTCTTCGAGTGAAGGATGTTTCATAGTGGGGAGTTAATATTTCTGGATTTCTGAATTCTCTCATACAATTTTTACGTACCATATTTCATACAATATACATTTAGATATATATATATATATATATATATATATATATATATATATGTTTTCGCAATAAATTAATATTTAAAAAAATGACCAACAATAAACAGTGCATAAATTATACGAAATAAAAATAGAGAGCATATGCCATTAAAAATTCATACTATATCTGATTCTCGTTTTTCCTAACTCTGCAGTCGATTCGAATATTAGATATAAATATCTATCAAATTTGTACTGTTTTATCGTTTAAACTTCCTTTCTCGATAACTAAAATACCGAGTTAACAAAGATTCAGTCTTCTCTATAAAGATCGTATGAGTTCGATGATAAAAAAAAAAAAAGAAACGATTGTTTCTGTCATACTCATCAATGTTATTGGATAAGTATGACATATAATGTTACTGAACGTCACGAAGTAGAAATAATTCGATCAAACTCCTTGTACATATCTCTGAAAAAATAATGGTGGCTCGGAAGTCAACCATTTTGTCTCTGCAGTTCGAGTTGGTAATAATTTCTTGTTCAAAAATATCGGCGTCGTTAATATGGTCATATTATTTTTATCGGCTATCACGATTCCTTTGTCGTCGTCGATTCTCGATATCTTTATGTGCACCTTCGAACCTGCATCTTCTGTAGCCTATAAATAATAAGCGTGTTTCTCATTTGAGATCTGATTTTTACGTATATTTAAATGTTATATATACATACATATATATATATATATATAACATTTAAGTAGGAAGATTCTTACTTTAATTCGTACTTTCTTCTCACCGATATGAAATGCTCTCGAAGCAAAATCCTCGTCGTGATCATTATAATGCCGATTTCCAATGTAATCATGATCGTGCACATCATCTCCATCGTAATATTTCTCATGATAATGATTTCTACGTTTTTCTTCACGTTTCGGTAGCTGGATGATTATCGTGTATGGTTGATTGTCCGAGACTGAAGATTCTTCGTAAAGAGGAGCATATCTAGAAAGTATTATTAACAATCAAATTATATTAATAATATTACTTACAAGTATGATTTTCTTTTTCACGGTAATAACCATGACTTCTCGAAACTTTTCTGATCGACATTTATTACAAGACGATCGTAAATCGTCCGTATGCATGATTTTACAGCGAAGTGAAAATATGAATAGATACGTGAAACCGGTCGTAATAAAAATTTATGATCAATCTAATGTCCAATTTATTTCAACGATTCTAAGTATTTATATTGATTATCGTTGATGAATATTTAACGAAGAAACAAAATAAAATAAAAGAACGCGATTAAAACGACAACAAAGTTTTAACGATTCAATGAAAAGATAAAACGTAGAAGACTTTACAATGTGTGGATTGATTAATGTTCCTTATAATTAATGTCACCATTTTATTTATTACACGCATATATATGAATTCATCGTAGCGACAACGTGAAATTTATTACACATTGTGGTAAGTACTCATGGCAGGTTACACGGTCGATAACCTCCAAGATTACGCATAATGAGAAAGTATCCGTCTGAAAAAAGTAGAACGAGTTCCCTTTATCCTCAAAGAACTGATTTCGTCTGAAAACGGAAGTAGAGATCAAGAGACTGGTAGAAAACTGGTATCTTTATAGCGATTAGATTACATTTAGGAGATAACGAAAACGAGAGCTTGCAATTAGTTTCAATGATAATCACACCCATCGTGCAAGATTTTGAATAGCCTTTTTAAGTTGTACTGTTGTAGTTTCGTGTGATCCTGAAAGTGGGTTACTAAAAGATAACGCAAAAAGTATTGGTAAAAAAAGTATAAAAAAAGAAATAATAAACTAAAAGGTTTAGTGTATTATTAAGAATAAAAATGAAGAAATGAAACGTCCTTATGTAACGATTTCCTTTACTACGAGTTATTAAAATATTGTTCTAAAGACAATCAAATGAAATCAAAACAATTATAATACGACTAACTAGATCACTACAATAAGTTCCATATCATTCGGTGGTAACTTCAAAACAATTACTATAGATTTCGTGTAATAAGTGCTACTAAGTAACTATACAAGTCCATTTCTCAAAGTTTCGAGTTCTATTAGAAGCACTTGCAAGATATCAGATATGTACGAGTAAATCATATAAGAGGGTGCCAAATATCTATGGATGTCCAACGGTGTTGTAAGTGCGAATGAGGTACTATCGATTTTACGCAAAACCATGCCATGTATAACTACGGTCGTCTAGCAACGAAGTCTCATTCAATTAATCAATCGTGGATAGCTATTTAATCTAATTAGATTACGCGCTCACGCATTCGTGCTAAATTCGAAAATTTACAAGTATGCCTATCAATCTTATTTTTTAATCTTTTTAATAGATCAATATTGAAAAGTATCGAACGAAAGTAATAAAATTTACGAAAAATAAAATACGCTGTGAAGTAGAGCGAATTAATAATGTGAACGATTATTACGATCACGTTTGTTCGATCATAAAATTGAAATGATCGCCGACTGACGATCTTAATATCTGGCATATTAATTGTAATGTAAACATAAGGCAAGGTTAAATTATACCGTAATAATATTTTAATTGTGTTTATTTTAATAATCTTACCTTGGATATGCAGGATGAGAATAGTAATGATTCTTTGTAGATTTTTTAACTCCATAATATTTCGGCGAACGAGAGATCCAACGTGATCGACTTCGTGACTTTGGATTGTAAAATTTATATGATCTTACGTATTTATGTACTTCGAAAAGTTCGACGAATTCCATCAAGAATATGAAAAATAGAACGAACGCTAAAGCCTATGAAGAAAAAAGTATTTTACAAATTAAACGTCAATCTTTTTTTTTCTTTTTCTTTTTTCAATGAGAATTTTCTACTTGAAATATTTTTAATAATCATAACGTTAGGAACGATTACTCACTTTTAAGTTCATATTCGTATCTTGAAAATATTTTACGAAAACGTTTTTAATCTCGAACTGTTAAAGACTTATAAGAAAATCTTCTATTTTCATGATTTCAATGATCATGCTTAAATGATTTATTATTCATCTATGTAATTCTATGGATGTATGATGATTTTTTAAAAAGATATTAAATACACGTGCTTTGACGACGAATATAGATAGACCGATGACGAATAACTTGAAAGGTATTTCTCTGTGAATCTTCTTTTATACTTTCCCCACCTTTCGCTTCGGCATTTTCAAGATACTGGAGAGAAAGAGAGATAAGCGTTTCTTTTTTCTGACGTTAATTAGACGGTGTCTAGTGTCATTCTACGTTATTACGTTTCTTCCTTACTTGTATCGTGATCCGTTAGTTTTTTAATTGCAAGTATTATAACTTTTTAGAACAGAACGACGAACTATAAAAAATTCCACGATTTTTCTCTTTGATGTTCTTCTTTTAAATTATATTGAACAACTTAATAATAATTTAAAAATGCAAAATCTTTTCGAAATAATTGAATTATTGACATTAGATTCGGATTAGATTTTTTGACAAGATCTGTTGAAAAATATGAATAAAAAAATTTATATGTATGCGCGCGCGTGTGTGTGTGTGTGTGTGTGCATTCAACTACACACACGTATTTTTCTTTCCAATTTTATTTCTTTATTATGATCCAATGAAATAAATCCATGGTTTCGTTTGCAACGCTTTGTATTATCAATTTATATGTGATCCAGAGAATCGAGTTTTAATATCGTTGATTGACATTACGTGCATCTTCGTTCTTTCATCGGCACTTTAATGTTTTTGAGAATGAAAAGCTTGAGAGTTGTGACATAGAGAGAGAGAGAGAGAGAGAGAGAAAGAGAGAGAAAGAGAGAGAGAGAGAGAGAAAGAAGAGATCGTAGTAATAATAATTTCAACTTCTCGAAAAGTTGGGAGTCCGTGGAATATCTACTTTCCTCGTTCTCTTCACTTTCGTTAATTTAGACTACAAGGGGAAGGACCGAAATAAGCCTAAGAAATCTAAATAACAAGATAACGAAAACTCGTCGACGGCGTAGTGGTTCATTTGCCGCATTTAATATAAAAAAAAAAAAAAAAAAAAGAAAAAAAAATGTTTTAAAAAACGTCATGCTCAAAGATAAGAACAATTTATAATAGATCTAATAAATGCTATTTCGTTGTATAAAACATTCACGATATCTGTCGTCATTTCTTTTCTTTTTTCCTTTTTTTTCATTTTTTTTTTGTTGTTTTTTTTTCTTCTTTTTTTTTTAATTTCATTCACCTAGATGCGACAAATGAATTATTTTCCAACGAAGACGAAATCGTATTTTCTCTTTTTTAAATGGGTTATGATTTTTATTATATTATCATCGATATAGTGACTCTCTTTTTAATGTTCTACTATTGAGTGTTCATTTGAAAAGACATACCTCGAAGGAAGGGTCCGATGCCTTTGGAAGCACTTCTTGATGGATGATAAAGCAAAAGGATTGTCGAGTCTCGAAGGAATGCCTTTTCATTTCCGATTCAGTTCGCTTCCGTGAAGTTTTGAAAAGCGAAGCAATCGAGAAGTCACGATGAGAGAGTCTCCGATGTCGTGACATTGGAGACGATGAATAGGAAATGGGGAATGGATCAACATGGGGTAAGAGAAACAGAAACTTCTGTGGATTTTGCGATCGATAATTAAAGAGCCAGAAACACGACCATCCACATCATCGAAAATGAAACTGTAATTTATGTTATCGCACGCTTCTTTTTTGAGAAAAAAATAAACGAGAACGACGATCATAAAAATAGTTTCACATAGAGATTATTCAATAGAATGAACAAACATGTAGAATGACGTATATTAAATCATCCTAACGTACACTATATAATTCGCGATAATACTAATAAATATTGTTTAACTCTGTTACATCTTCTGTGCTTTGATAAATTTTGATAAAAGACTGAACGAATGTTACCGTATAATTTATTTAATTTTTGGAAGATTTTGATGCGCAAGTACATCGTAAAATTGTTCCTTACATCACAAGATACTTTAAGTACAAATGCATATGCTTCTATAAAACGTACTTGATTATACGTATAAGTTACTTAAAATAAAGGACATGCTTAAACGTAACAAGCGATAAATAGTGCATAATATATAAATTTTATATACGATTTTCAAGCGATAATTGCACTAATGGATGCTTCTTGATATTCAGAGAATATTACGGAATACCAACGACAAGAATAGTATAATTATCGAGATCTTTAGCTCGGGATTTATACGCAAAGCAATTTTTCCCTAATACTTTCATCAACGTGGACCGCATGATACATTCTAATATTTTAAACGTGACTCCTAAATTGTATGCCATTCGAAAAAAAAAAGAATATTATTAAATATATACACCTACAAACAATACTTGGATATATTAATTATCGAAAATTTTTCAACGAATTGACATGCTGCTCTCTTCTCATGAATTATAATAAAATACGATAACCTCGATGGTTTGTATTAAAAAAAAAAAAATATATATATATGTATATAAGTATAAAAAGATTATTGTTGAAGCTACAATTCGGGCTCGTTTCTATTCTTCTACTTATCGATAGCGCGTTCAGCGAGAACCTCATTCAACTAAATGCATACACTTAAGAATATAGATAATTATTGAAAATGGGCACGTCGAAACTGTGGCACTAGTTCTTTGAAGAACTCCAAGGAAGCCTTGCAAGTCTATGAATTTATTTCTTGAGTTTCGGTGCAATCTGTAGGCTTGATTTCCAGCCACCAATCGTTGGGATAGTGATACTTTTGTAGTTCGATGCCCTCTCTTGGTACGGGCATTAATCGGCCACCAAATTGTTTTGCTGGTAAGGGAGGAATCACCAGCTGAGGTGGAAAGCACTGCAAACTCGGTGAAAACTCGCAATCCGGTGGTAAGACCCTTCTCGTCCATCCTACCCTTCTTACCATTTGAGTCTGGAAGCGAAAGGCAATAGGACATTTGACTTAAATAATAATCCCTCAAAAAAAAAAAAAAAGTACGGATAAAGGAATCCAGTTCTAAAGACAATTCATGTCACAAAAGTTTTCCAATAATTTCGCAAGTAACGAGGAGCTCTTTAACCTTTGACGATCTTTTCAATGGTTTTATGAGAATAAAGAGAACCAACAAGAAGCGAGATCTCTGCTTTAGGAAAGTTGGCAGAGAAATTTTGACAAGAGCCGCCAATCGTAATAAAACGGCGCCGTGATTTACGAAAACACGTAAACGGGAAGTTCTCGCTGTCATTTTACTACCGAATATCCTGCCAAGGAATGATTTTCGGTTGGCCTGGTTACGTGACATGAAAATACGCGACGTTAATATAGTAGTTAGAAATTTGTGTAGAGAGAGAATTTTTCATATAATGGATTTATAAGGTAAAAATTTACATTCACGAAATGTGAACAATTCATTGATTGTAAGAATAACAAGAGAGAAAAGATGATTCGTTTTATGATTCATTTTTATCGGAACTATAATTTTTAGACTTCTTTACTAACACAATTTCAATATACATCACGATTTTCTATTATATTGAATTTTTCCTTGTATTCTATTCGGTAGTTAAAACAATCGTCTCATATAAACTCCCTACAGCGACACTGTCCTCATATTATCGGAAGAATGAACCTTTTAATCTATTTATCCAAATTTCACATAATTATTATATTATTCAATATATTATGATTTTGTTGTAATTAATGTAAAGAAAGGAAAACTTAATTACAACACGTATATGCATTCGTACCCTATTGATTAAACAGATATTGTTATAAAGTATTATAATTACCACAGCATCCTCTTCAAAGACAACGATCTCCACTTTAGGAGAATCTTCGCCAACCTCATGCTCCTGGACACGATAAACTCCAGCGGCGTGAAGATACGTAGCACTTAAGCCTACCTCTCGAAATGCTTTTGTAATGAGAACGTCGTCTCTTAAGGTATCAACCAAGCAGAGTTCGACCTTGCGAGCCCAGGGCAGTGCCCGACCTATTCGAACTTGACCCCAGAGCGCGCCCAGACACAGAAAATGCACGATGCCCAGTTTAGCTAACACCAAGTGTGCCCTGTTTCGTACGAGGATAAAAACGAAAAGTAGCCACTATGATTGAAAATAATTTTGAATTTGTGATCAAGAGAAATTCTTGATCAGAAAATGAGTCAACCAAAAGTATACGACATGGAAGTACTTCTTGCTAAAGAAGACACAATAGTATTTATGTTTGCAGTAACTTTTATACACAACATGAACGAATTGTATGTTTGATGTAACAATATGTAGGCTATCATAAAAAGAACTCTTCATAGTTTTTAAATACTCGTAAACGGTAAAAGTAATCTACTTGATTGAAATAAATATTGATCTTAACTACTGTTGATTATAATGTTGAATAATTATCTATGTATGCTAAATTTAAATTGATTTATCTACCATCGCTAAGTTTCTGTCTTATCATCAGATGGTTATAACCATTCCCAAGAAATGAAATAAGACTAACCTGTAGGCAAGTTCATGCAATTTCTCAGTATACTCTTCCGGAACACTACAGGGTTGCTGTGGTACTTCTTGCCGACCGAGACTGTACCAAAACAGCACGATCATGAAGCAAAACGCTGCTACAGCTCGTAGCGGCGTTATACGGAATCTTCTTCGCGGCCAAAAACTCATGCTGCTGGTAACCTTAAATGAAACATAATGACAAAGTCTTAAAAATTGATTATATTTGTAATCGTCCAATTTAATAGACCAATGTAATAGATTATTCATCGATAATACAAATAAAACAAAAGATGTTTCTACAAACCACAAAATATTCCAATAAACGAGGATACAAGAATCTTTTGTTGCTGATCACTCAAACGACTCCACATCGTTACGTAATTCCGATAAAAACTTCAACAGTTAGCTCATAAAAGCGTTCCATTCGTTTACGATTGCGCGTATTCCGAATGAACAAAGTTTCCATGGCCCACGTGCACACCGAATACGTCAAAATTCTTCCCCTCGAGACACTGTTTTTTCTCACCCCTATCGTGCACCACCGTCGCCTTCGCGTCTCCTTTAACATCAACCCCTCCCACCACCAAAAATCGTTTTTCTGTGCACTTG